ACTATATATATGTAATAGTACTGACGAAGAAGAAAGTGATAATCAGTCATTGTCTCTTGTTCTTCGTCAGCACTATTACATATATATAGTCCGAAAATAGTTTTTTCGAAATTTCTCTTCGTAAAGCCCGTTAAGACACGTCATAAAAACTCCAGACGCGTTCAGACGCGCCTTTATAGATTTCTCTTGGCAAAGCGCGTTAAGACGCATTTTTTTTATAAACAGTGGCGGACGCGTCTGACAAACGTTTTAAGAAAAACCGCGTTCAGACGCGTCTTTTTTAACAAAAATTCCAGACGCGCCTAAGCGCGTCACGGTACGACACGTTCAGACGCGTCTTGGAGACTTCTTTTGGTAAAGCGCGTTAAGACGCGTTTTTTTTAATATAAAGTGCTAGACGCGTCTAAATGCATCTCGGTACGACGCGTTCAGACGCGTCTGACCATTTTTTTCTGAAAAAAACGCGTTTAGACGCGTCTTTTCAGACGCAATGATTTTACATGGGAACCGACATAAAGCCGTGTAATTTCTTGATTTTATTTCTGACTGCATCTCCATTGTGAATCTCAGTTTTCTCCACATAAAAGTTTTTTCAAAAAAGGCCACTGTATGCAGAAGAATAATAATAAGATATTTAGAATCATTGTAAAAAGAAAGCCCGATTTATATAAAATCATGTGGATTCCTTACGGGAAACAAAAGATGGCGCTACATCGCGTGCATGTAAAAGGAGTGTGTCAAAGAAACGTAACATTGAATGATGAAATGGTTACAAACCTGCTGCCGTTATTTTGTCCAGTCTTTTGAGATTAAAATGGTAATTGGTTTGTTTTCTTAGGATTTTGTATTGCGACCTTTTGAAAATTATTCGCTAGGTTACCATATGAAAATATATTTTCAAAACATAATTTTCTTACAAAAAAAAGGCAATAAAGATTGATTTTTAAAAAGTTTACAAAAATATGTTCTTGAAATAGATTACTTATAATACGAAAATTAAAATCTTGGATCATCTCCTAAAAAGACAAAAATGTAACAGAAATAATAATCTCATGTTAACCTAAGGTTGTTTAGTTTACGTACGTTTTCGAAGAATATATTCTCGTGAGTTCCAGAGCACACGTTTTATTACTCTGACATTCTACTACTTTCAGTCTTGATCTTCATTCCAGTTATTTGTCAAATCATCGAACATGCTGTAGTTTAAATATCTTCGAATGGGTTGCGATGTTGATAAATAACTTTTTGGTACTTTTGATGAATTCTGTAATGAGAAAAAGGTTAGTTAGTGTCAGAGTAAACGTTCATTTTCGTGTTCTACTTTCGCATTGGTTGCTTATCAGTATCAGTATTGAATCTTCGATCTCATCATTATAAGCATTCCTGGAAGTTTTCTTCAAGATTGATTTTTCCACGGACATCATATGCTGCTGGTGCCACTACAAATACAAGAACAACAATGATCTAATGTGACCACGTAGGATATAATAGAAGAACTTACATCTGTAGTTTCGCCTGATTCGTTAAACGAGGCTTTCACTCTTTTTGACGAAAATCAGAATGCGGATGGAATGTTTGGTTGTTTAAACGTTAGTTCTAATAAAGTTGTTCGAAAGTAATTTAGGCCTGATTCATGAAAATCAAAATAAGGATCAAGAGCGTTTTCATCTTCACTGCAATTTGTAGAATTCTCCTAGGACATAAAAAAAGGAGAAGAATACATTTATTCTTAGACTACGTTCACACTACACAAGTTAAATGAGCTAAAACGAAGCTGATCAGTCAGAAAATTAACTCTTAGTTAAATGATGTTTCGGATATCATTTAACTTTAACTCTTCAATCATAAATGAGTTCAGTAACTAATAATTGGTTCCATTAGACAAGGGCGGTCGTGCAAGTTCTGTGGAGCAAACAAACACCTAACTCTCTGCTCAGTTTTTCTGTTTGACCTTAGAAAGTCAACTGTAGAACATAAATTCAAATCAGCCGCCTGTTAGCAAGCCGCAACCGTTGAGAATACTGAAGCCAGGAAGCAGCACAATTTTAGGGGAAATGTCAAAATCTTATCGGTGTATTAAAGATTTTGGTGTGAACGCGCTTGAAGTCAACTTTGAGTTAACCCAAAGTTAACTCTGAAAAATTTGTAGTGTGAACGTCCTTAGTTGGCTGCGCGAATCCGCGGTGCCATTTTTATTTCTTATATCCCTCTATATATGTAGTTTTACTTCGACACTGACAAGTCGCATACCGAAATTAAAAGGAATCCAGACCAAAATTATTTCTCTAAGATTAATTTGTTCCCTGATCTTTATGATACCGAAATTTCCTCATTCTGTTCAGTGGCCGTTTTTCTACATGTCAAGTGCATTAATGTGTCGTCCACAAAAATAAACACAGCATCCATGGTTTATAGGCTATGTATCAAATACTCACATCTCACAAATGATTTTCTTCTGAACGAAAAAATGAACCTCTCAGGATCATGGGTATTACTTTTTTTCATTCCAACTTTTTTAATTTAAATTTTTACTAAAATATGCTTTATAAAATTCTCTATAAGATAATATGATTGACTGAACTAAATTATTTTTTCTCGATTGAAAAAGAGTGTCACACATTCACGTTTTTTTCCTTTTCATGAAATTGTTATTTCTTCCAACAAAACGACTTTTTCTAAGATTCAATAATAATGTATTACTCCATCACAGTTTTATAACATGTTAGGAGACGTCTCTGATTCGACTAGAATGGCATAGTATATACATTATCATTAAATCTTAGAAAAATTCGTTTTGATGAGAGAAATGAAAAATAAAATAAAAAGATTTTAGAAAACCCTGTGAACTTTAATTCAATCTTCTAGACAATTTCATAGACCATATTTTAGTAAAAGATTCAGTTAAAAAAGTTGAAATGGAAAAAAACTAATATCCAAGATACCGAGAGGTTCATTTCTTCGAACCATTCATTAGATAGTTGAAATATACAGGGTGGTCTAAAAGTTTCCCGGTAGTCAGTCTTCGATTGCGAATAACCTTTCCAAGGAACAAGAACGTGAGCTGTAGTTTTCACTATTGGAAAGAAAAGATAAAGACGCATCGAATGGTATATGAAAGGATTTTGCAATCTACTTTCTAAGGCTTTTTATAATCAGTTTTTCAAAAAAGGATAAAAAGATGGTTTTCATTGAAACGGAATAACTAGAATTCGCGTAGAATAGCTATAACTCCTAAACGATTGAAGCTGAAAATCTGAGCCTTGTGCAGTTTTGTAGAGCTTCGGTTGTCGGTTCTAATGCACACCTGACAATTAGAATTCACTTTAGTCACCTCACAGAGTACGGTCATTTTCAAAGAGCTCAAGCGAAAAAAGTCTTAGAAAATCCATTCATATACGATTCGATGCGTCTTTATCTCCTCTTTCGAACGGTGAAAACCGCAGCTCTCGTTCTTGTTCCTTGAAAAACTGATTCGCAATCAACGACTGACGGGTAACTTTTGGACCACCCTGTATAATCGCAGTGCTTTTCTTTCCTCTCGTTTTTTTGTCCAGAAGAAAATCATTTGTGAGATGTGAGTATTTACTTTAGACTATGCTCTTTCGAACGAAACAAAAATTCGACCTCTACAATGTTTCTGCGCAGCATTACAATCAAAATAAAATAAATTCTAAAGTTTTGCATCACCCGTTATGGATTCATTTGAAATAGTTTTATTTAATTAATAATCTCCATCCATCATACTTCTAGATTTGATCGAAGATACATTCATATTGTCGCGCAAACAATTCGATTAAAAAAAAGACTTTTCGCACATCTTCAACAAATGCTAAGGAGTTTGTAGACAATTGTACAATAATTTATTAATCTTTTTTAATCAATATTTATTTAAAAAGTTAATAATGTGTGATATTGAGGGTGGGAGTGAATATAAAATAATGACTAATGATGAAACGATTAAATTAGTTAAAGAATGGAAAGAAAAAGGTTTACGTATTGTATTTACAAATGGTTGTTTTGATATTGTTCATTTGGGTCATATTGATTATTTAGAAAAATGTCGTCAATTAGGTGAGAAATTAATTGTAGCTTTAAATACTGATAAATCAATTAGTCAAATAAAAGATTCTCATCGACCTATTATTAATCAATATGCGAGGGCACGCATTATTGCAGCTCTACAATTTGTTGATATTGTTACACTTTTTGATGAATTAACTCCAATTAAATTAATTGAATCTATCAAACCAAATTTTCTTGTTAAAGGTAGGAATTACACTAATGACAAGATTATCGGCGCGAATTTTGTTATTGAAAACGGTGGAAAGGTTGAAACCATTCCTTTGATAACAAATTATTCAACTACATCGATTATTGAAACTATTCTAAAACAATATCAATAAACGATTATTAACCTTTATACTTCACTTGTGTCACTGACTCACCGATTCTCTTGCTCTCTTCTCTTATGGTGTGACCATAAGAGAAGAGAGCTTATTATGTATCTTCCTTATATGAGCATGTGTTCTGTGTACGAACGAGACAACTTGTTGAGTGAAGAAGGCAAATAAAGTTTGTATCTGAATGTGTTACTTTAACTTTTAGAAAATGCAAATTAAAGTAGTTTATTAAGACTGTTCTCGTTGATCATTCTTGGTTTCTTTCTCAACCATATCTTTGTATCCTAACAAACTCATCCTACAAAAAGATAGTAGCAAAGCAAATCAAATTAAACGAAAGTGGTACTACCTTTTCACAATATTAAATCATACTTTTTGAAAGCTGATAACGTCATTCGATTCCTCGACCCCTTCCAACCTTTGCTCAAACTTTGTAGGAAGTTATTATTTTCGCGCAATATACCTTCTTTGATATAAATCAAGGGTACAAATTTTCCGTTATCCGATAACGGCAGTTTCCCCTCCTTAATAACTAAAAATCAACCCGATGAAAGTATGATTCAATATTGTGAAAAGTGTAGTTCCACTTTTGCTTAATTTGATTTTGTTCTATTTTTCGTCAAATCATTTTTTTAGGACACAAATATATGGTTTGAAGAAGAAACCAAACATGATCATGGAGGACATCCCTTCTCACACTGTTTTAACTTTTAAAATGATACATCTAGTTGTATCTCACGGTCACTTCTCTCCTTGCGTTCTTTATACAGATCTGAATTAATACTTTAAAATAAAAATCTTTCTTTGTTATTTATGTTCCAATTATACAAATCTGAAAGTGAATTAAACAAAAAATATGTTTCTTATAATAAGTCTTTGGATATCAAAGATCATTTACTTATCATATAAAATTATTAAAATCATTCTTACCAATCAGATTTTTGAGAAACTTCTAGAAATTTGGAAGAAAAATAGTCATTGCAAATTTAACTCAAAGTTATCCGTAGTAACAGAGTACAGACTCTCTTCATCCCAAAATGAACAGACACTGCATTGATAACATGAACAAAGTTAGGTAAATTCTTGTCTTGATAAGAAGTTTGAATAAACTAAGATCAATTGTTATGTTTATACAATTATTTAACATAATTGAAGATAAGATACATTTCCTAGTAAAAGTACTGAATCCAGGGTATTCTGCTAGCAGTATGCTATAGGTACTTTATGGTTAGTCGAACGCTTCATTAAAAAGACACTTGGGCGTTTAAATTCACTAAACTGTCGAGACATTTTTTATTATAAATTTCTGTAATTCTACATATGTCGAAGTACCCGAGCAAGCAAGTACTTATGTACCGGGACAACTGTGAGCAGAGTGCTCAGTTAAGATCCTTTGGCATCCTAGTGTCAGGGTAATTGTCTAGGTACTCTGATGTAAATCGTCCCAATACAGTCATACCCATAATTCAGTAGTTTCAGTAAAGTTATACGATTGTTAATAAAGATGTCGATCTGAGAGGATTTTTGTAATTTGTGAGTTGGATTGATTATAAAAAGTTGTTTTCTGGCTAGTTATTAAAATTGTTCGTTTAGATTAAACGGACGAAGATTTTTTTGTGCCCAGAATTAAGACAGATTTGTGCCCGTTTAAGACCTTTTGTGCCCGGTCCGGGTACAAAAAAATCTTTTGACACTTTTGTGCCCGGAGACAGATATGTGTCCGGATTTGATTGATTTGTGCCCGGTTTGTGTTTAAAAATGAAAATATAATAATAATATACAATATATAATATATAATAAATTTAATAGTAAACCATAGGTTATCCTGATAGATATCGCTTGTGACATATGTGTATATGTTTATGTACAAGATGCATAAAGTACTATACAGTATTCACAGACCGGCAATGTTGATCAAGGTTCTTTTTCGTGAATTCGATTGATATATTATGCACAAATAGTGCTAGTACAACTAGCGCTCCATCCCCTGTTAGAGATATTGTCAAAAAATCAGTAGCAGCTGGATTAACTCAATCTCAAACACGTGCTATACAAAATGAATGCACTAGTGATGTTCCAAGTACACAAATTTCAAGTTTGAATCAACTGAAGAACCATTTCATACATTTCCAGTTGTGGGTGTTGCACGAGAAAAAGAGGCTTTAACATGGTTACAAAGTCTTGATAAGAAGACAATATTACATTGGTATGGTAATTCATATATTGTTCCATCAACATTCAATCACCAATACAATTCTATGTTATGGCTACAAGAATATTCTACGCTACCATGGACGCAATGGGACAATTTTTCTCAATGGCTCAAAGCTGGCCGACTTATTACAATTTCAATGACTTGTTCATGTAGATCAAATTTGAAAACATATGTATGTAAGTATGCTATCGGTTTAATGATGCATTTTGGTTGTTATATTGTAAAAGACCTAGCAAAATTACAAAATTTCCAGAAACGACGCGGAAGACCACGAAAAGTAGGAAATGCGTTGTCTGATGTTTAGCTGTTGTGCTTACATATTCTCTCTGTTCTGTCTATTTCTGCGACTACGTCAGTAAATAAATGATGATAATAACCTTTCTCATTATTATTTCTAATCTAATTAAAACCGGGCACAAATCAATCAAATCCGGGCACATATCTGTCTCCGGGCACAAAAGTGTCAAAAGATTTTTTTGTACTCGGACCGGGTACAAAAAGTCTTAAACGGGCACAAATCTGTCTTAATTCCGGGCACAAAAAAACTTTAATCCAGATTAAACTCTTAACGAGAAATACATATTTTTTAATTAAACTAATAGATTTATTTCAGATTAAATAAAATCTGTTTATACAAAATTGAAAGATTAACAAAGTATCTATATCATTATTCATTTCAATTCTCTAAATCTAATTGATGAATAATTGTGAAGACGATAAGATTAGAAGTGGTTTAATAGCTAGTGGTAGTATTCTTGTTGATTATATAATAACAATCAATGATTGGCCAATGGAAAATTGTACATCATTTATTCAACGTGAAGTTAAAATGACAAGTGGAGGTGCACCATACAACATTGTTAAAAATCTACAATTGATGAAAGTTGATTTTCCATTGTCACTTGTTGGATTAATTGGAAATGATTCAAATGGTAAATGGATAATTAATGATTGTATTAAATCCAATATTGATATAACTAAATTAGAAATAATAAAAGATTCCATTCCAACATCTTGTACATATGTAATGGCCGTTGAAAACACAAATCGACGTACATTTTTTCATCAACAAGGTACAAATGGATTATTAGATGAAAAACATTTTGATTTTTATAAAACAAATGCTAAATTATTTTATCTTGGTCCTTTAACACAATTAAATAAATTAGATCAATTTAATAATGAACGAACAAATGCATCTCGTACATTAGAAAAAGCTCTTCTATTTGGTCTTGAAACAATTGTAGATTTTTCAAGTGGAAAAAATTTAAATTATTCACAAATAGCCAAATCATCTTTACCTTTTATCGATCATTTAATAATTAATGAAACAGAAGCTGGATTCATTTTTAATAAAATATTAACAAGTGACAATTTAACTGAAATAAAACAGATTGCAAATCAATTAATTGATTTAGGTGTAAGAAAAAGTGTAACTATTCATTTTTCTGAAGGGGCCATTTTAATAACAAAAGATAAAAAGATTTTTTCTCAAGGTTCAATTATTTTACCAGACAATTTTATTAAAAGTTCAGTTGGAGCTGGAGATGCATTTGTTTCGGGAATCATTTATGGAATTCATCAACAATGGACATTCGATAAAACATTACAGTTAGCTGTTTGTGTTGCAGCAATGTCATTATCAGATGAATCATCAACTGATGGAATCAAAAATATTCAACAATGTTTAGATTTACAAAGATTTGGTTTCAGAAAATTAAATATATAAACTATGAATATTTATTTAAACAACATTTTGACGTTTAACAAATCTAAATTTAAATTATTTTATTTATTTGAAAATAATCAAATCTAATGAAAAGATCATTTATCATCAACAATAGATGTGACACATTCAGAGGCCGCTTTTTAAGAAGATAGAAATTCTGTAACAAAATTGAGCAACCTTTTTATAGATGCTTTCCAGGCATTACTCTTTGTGGCTAGTGCTAAGCAATGATGACCATATCCAAGAATTCGTGTAGTAGTCAGTGCACTATTTCAAGAAATCATTAACATTTGGAAAATTCTGTTTTCCACTAAGAACGTTTTGAATGAATTTCATGAACTAGCCAAAGAAGATATATCAGTTCCTGCCATAATATGACAATATAAATATGAATCAGGGAACAATAAGAATCAGTCAACGATTCATGTAAGATAATACTAGTAACCGATTAGAAAGTCTTAACAGTGACTTTAGCAAAACGGATAAATAAACTAAATAAATGAACAATGAACAATATAGTCACAATCTATTATTAAACAAGACTGTTTTACTGTGTCCAGCCAAAATGATATTAAAGTTATTTATCATCCTCCAGCGGCAAAAATACACTACTGTATATTTGACACATACATTTCTTGCTAAAAAAAACAAGTTTTTAATCGAAAATTTAGAAAAACATGACAGGCAGGCGGCCTGATTCACATGGAAATCTTTGCCAAAATTGTAACTTCGTGAGTGAGTCAACAATTGTTGAATGAAAAAATTTTTTGCGTAATATTTGTGTTGAATATTATGGAAAAATAACCACGACTGGTTTCGCCCATTCTCAAGGATCTTCATCAGGTAGCTTTAAGACTGCAGGAATGCGGATGAGGATGTGAATAAGAAATAAAACGAATTAATAATAACTAATGAATAGAAACAACACACAAGAAATAGCTAATCACAAATAAATATTTTTTTAATTTTTAATGTTTTTTATTATTTTTTAATCTAATTTATTATTAATTAAATATATAAAGAAATGAATAAATGAATGAATGAATGGAATTGAAAAGTAGAAGAACCAAGGTAATAAGAAAAAAGAAGATGAGTTCTTGAGGAGAAAAATAAAAATGACGAGAGTAGAATAAATAAGATTTTAAGATAATTTATTAAAGATTTTAATACTACTGCGGTAACGCGTCGGCCTCATGAGCCTCGCTTAACTCAACCCTTAAAGCAAGGAAAGATGGTGTAAAATTCAGAGATTCGCGAGTCATCCTGCCACCGCCACTGCCTCGCCTCACCAAGCACCTATCATAGAAAGGGATGTGTCTTTTATACATTTTGTGAACCATATGTTACGATTAGTGTTTGATGTATGTTATGAGATAAGAGTAAATCCAGTACATATCAAGAAGTTCAAAAGAGCAAAATAGAAAAATATAATATATAGTTGCTTGACAACTAACAAAATATAATATATAATAGTTAGAAGAACTCAATGTAGATATACTGCGTACCTAGAAATATGCATGAGTACCATAAATTAGAGATTTAAACAAACCATCTGGCATGTCTGAAACAGACAAGGCTCCAACTTTCCTGCCTGACTCAGGCCAAACTGTCAGACAGGCCGCCTGCCTGTCATGTTTTTCTAAATTTTCGATTAAAAACTTGTTTTTTTTAGCAAGAAATGTATGTGTCAAATATACAGTAGTGTTTATAAATCGAATATAGAACTGCTATGAATAACATGACTTTCAGTCTTGAAAATACTTTATTCGAGCTTTCACCAGCTTTCAGTTGGCATCATCAGGAATGTAATAGACATTCGAACAAACGATGGTATAAAAAGAAGCGAAANGAGGATGATAAATAACTTTAATATCATTTTGGCTGGACACAGTAAAACAGTCTTGTTTAATAATAGATTGTGACTATATTGTTCATTGTTCATTTATTTAGTTTATTTATCCGTTTCGCTAAGTCACTGTTAAGACTTTTTAATCGGTTACTAGTATTATCTTACATGAAGTTTTTCGTCAAGAACTTGGTGTTAGTCAACAGGCATTTCATCTTTGTTCCTGAAGGACGTGGTGTTCGTCACCAGCAGTCTCATCTTTTTGCTGAAAAACTTGGTCTTTCTAAAGAAGAAATTCATCCGTATTTTTCATGAACTTGGCGTGGCGTTAGTCAACAGGCATTTCATCTTTGTTCCTGAAGAACTTGGTGTTTCTCAACACGGAACTCATCCTTTTTCGTGACGAACGTATTGTTTTGTCAACCAGAATGTCATGTTTTCTCAGGAAGAACTTGGTTTTCCTGAACAGAAATTTAATGTTATTCCTGAAGAAATTGGTGTTTTGTCAACAAGGTAGTGATCCTGCTTCGTGACGAAAGTATTGTTTTCTCAACCAGAATGTCAGCTTTTTTCCGGAAGAACGTTTCTTTCATTGTTTCTTTTTATTTTGGTAAAAAACCATAGCATATAAAAAAGAGTACAGACATACGAAGGACTTGTAACAGAAAAATAAACATGAATTCAAAATTTTTGCCTATTATGATCAGCAACTAAAAATATCAAAAATGGTCTTTCTCATGAAGAAAATCATTCGTATCGTTCAAGAAATTGGTGTTAGTCAACAGGCATTTCACCTGATCAGAAACCTTTTTCGGGTCAAACTCAGGTCAATATAAGAAAAACTGTCTGAATTATCCAAACTTTTTCACTCATAAAAGGAAAAAGTGAGAGAAATCGTAAAGAATCTAGCCATTTCTGACCAAATCATCAATTGATTTTTAAACGGATCCTTTACAAAGAAATATGGATTGAGCCTGCGGTTAACCGTTTAGCTTTCAGTTCCGTTACTTCCAGAATCATTTCTGATCACGACCCCGAAAAAGAAAGTAGAGGCACATGTTTTTACATTCAAAATATTTATGTATAATAAATATACCTGGCCCAACACCTTATACGTTTCTTCAACGTTATTTATCATTAATAGAATCAGATACCACTGTAACTGACAATGTTGACAATTGGAAATGTTTTCAATTATTATCAACCTATTTGACAGCGTTCACACTTTATCAATATCGTACTTTTTGCAATTAGCGTTTATCGTTAATCACAGCCAGTTGTTTGTGTATGACATTGAAATTCTTTTCCTTTTGTCAAGTTCACTTGATACTAGGGAACTTTATCTTAGGTAACTACACTTAGGTTTTTAGCCCGAGCGCATACTATCTTGCCGTCATGCTGTTCTTGCGTGAACGAGAGTGGAAAACAGTTTCCCACATCATGAACGTGCGTATCAGTGTAATTGAAAAGTTGAGATCGAACAATGGTTTGTTTCAACAGATACTGCCCATTCGAATATGTAAAACCCAATTCACGAGGGATCATTGAAACTTTCGGTACATTGAAGGGTGGATAATCATAATATTTGTTACTTCCATGATGCACTAAATAAGATGGCAAGTTAGTTAGTGACACAATTTGGATATATCCATGGGTGATTAACCAGAAGCTGGACAAATACTCTTGCTGCGTTGTTCCGGTGAAATGTCTCCATTCGTCAGTTAGCACCAAAATTTTGAGATGAGATTGTGGCAGCAAGTAATACGCAGCATGGGTGTTTCTTGGATGGATCCACCATTGCTCATTAAAGTATATCAATGATAGAATTAGGGGCTGCCAGGTAAGACCCATGTCTGTCAAGCGGAGCTTGTCTGCTTCATTGGGAATTAGCGCAAAGATATCTGTCGTCATATTTCTATGCATTTCAGTTCTGAATGCATATGGTAAAAGGAAAGTGCGACCGAAGGTTGTTTTTTTTAAAGGAGGGGTGGTATGCATGTATAATCGAATTAATCGGTTTGTCTCAATTTCCGAAAGATTATAAAGAGTATAATTTATGTCTTGAATTAGTCGCCAATAAATTCTGTCGTTAAGTAAGACATCTTCGTCGCAATAAAAAAACCAGTCAAAATTTAGTACATTAGTCTCAAAATATCTTCTATGCTGAAAAGGCAAAGCATAGCCCAAGTCTGATAAGAATAACACTACAACCACTTCGACACAGTTCCATTTGAACTGTTGAAGTATAATAGAACCAACTGGTATGTGCGATGAATTGGATTTCGGTACTGTTTTTTTGATTATGATCGAATTTAACTTGTAAAAGTCATTGAGTACTGTATTATTAAACCAGTCCGATGAACATGTTGCTAGAATTAACTTTATAGAAACATTGAAGTGATTTGATACGCATGTATTTTTGGCTGACGATAGATGGTGGACAACATAGTAATCACGATTATTACGCAGATTATATGCAACGACCCATATGAGTAAACGGTGTCGTTGAAGGTTACGACTAGTAATATCTGGAGCATGCTGACTATTACTGTACAATACTCGTAGTTGTTGAAAAATAGTGTGACGTGAGCACACTATCAACGTGAGCCAAACAATAAAAGACGATATAATTATCGACGATTTAGTAAGAGTTATTAGTTTTCTTGACGATGTATATTCAACCAATGTATTAAATCTACTAGTTCTCATCTTTAAAAAACATATATTCTTAAAACAAAGAACGGGACGTTTAACAGAATGAAGTAGTGATAGCATCAAGGGGGAAATAGCCTCTAGTCTTGCTGCACACACTTCGAAGTGTCTCTCACTTTGAGTGACACTTCTACACTTGAAGTGACACTACATCGCTTAGAGTGTCACTTAGCTATTTTTAATTGTCAGTTCTTCCTTGTTGTTGTGCTACTGAAGAAGGTGCATTACTGTCTCGAAACATTTAGAATAAAATAAAAATTACGAAGAAAAGTATTTAAACTAATATAATTACTAATTTTTTCAAAATCGATTAAACTTATTATGTCTTTTCTTTTGTACATCTAACAAGATCATAGGTCTTTCGTAAGTCTCGTGTCACATCGGACAATTTTTTAAGGTATTTATATGTCGATTTTGGTCTAAGTATACCGAACTTTGGTCAATCTACTGTTCTGATAATCAAACATAAGACTTACTCCAGTGTACTTAGCGTTATTTCTTCTTCAGAGAACATTCGTTTCTAAATTGATTGAAGCAATGTTGATTTACAAAGAATACGTGTAGTTTTTAAACGATACTCGTAGTCATAGGTAGATAATAACTTAACATGTATATATAGGAATTTTTGGATTCTATTGTAAGAAAGAATTATTTACGCATAGCCTACTATTGATGAAAAAGAAAAATAATTTGCTATAAAGCGAAACTTTTAGCAATTTTTATACTGAATGAATAATAAGTGTTGTTGGTATTATGTTTTATAAAAGAGAGTATGAGAAGGGGCTTAGTACACCCAGGCCGAGTGTATAACGAAAAATGAATTTCTTTTCATTTTTATCTGCAGAATTCAATTCCATATTCACATTTCACACTCACTGGTTGAGAGGATCATTGGAAACAAAATTAATATTATATTTCACACTGACCCTAACATCCTTGAGGGAGATGCTCCGAAAGTATACGGAACTAAGGTCTCATGTTTTTAGCTTCTACTGAATGCATCGAGTTGTACAAAGTTAGCAATTCTGAGATGGGTGACAATGGCATCTGAGTCACTTTCTTAGAAACTCATTATTAAGATTTTTTAAACGGAAACGATGTAAACGTCAGAAAACGGATTTTCTGCAGAATTTCTTCACAAAAGGGTCAAGCCATGTTTTCTGGAAAAATCAGAGGAAAACTATACTTTATCTGTAAAATTGATGTGAATATCCATCTTCATCGCTTACAAACAGCTCCTGTAATAGAAATAACGGTTTTTTTCTCTTACGTGAATAGCATGAAAATGTCGTTTAAATAAATATTCATAGTTTATATATTAATGAACGTGAATAGCATGAAACTGGAACAGCAAGGAAAAGAGTTGAATAACATTCATTCATTCACAGATCTCTTTTGTATCAAAAGAACAGCCTCTTATAAATGAATTTTGTAAACCTGTTTTATTTGTTATGAACCATGACATGAAAATTATGATTATCCATGACAGGAAAATTATGATTTAGACTCACACGACACAAACGCGAAGAAAGAAAAGTACATGTCGTCTGTATGATGAATATGATTCAATGCTGCGTGAAAAAGAATAAAATGATAGAGTAGTTTGGAGTAATTACTGACATTACAGTTTACATATATAAATCTCTAAAGAGTTCATTTCCTCCCGAATTTCAAACTTGCTGCGTGCGCATTTTTGACATGAAGTCGAAAAAAACTGATGGATTGCTATATAAAACTGTTGACTTAGGAACTGATTTTGTAGAGATCTGTTGAAAAACCGGCTTTAGAAATTAGTTAAAAAACGTTTGTGCTTATGAAAATATGGGTTACACTGTCGGTCGGTTCATTCAAATGACCTTCGAGAAATTCTCGAGGTCAAAAATTATTAGATTCAACATCGAATAATGACTCATAATAAAGAAGAAAGTCGATTACTCTATTTGAAATGTCTAGGAGATGTTTTTTACTCCAGTTATATTGAGTTGGTTTTAGGGCTATGACAGTTACCATTATCGTTACAGTAACTGTACACAGTTGAAAATAATATTTTTCCAGGGGGGTAGAACTGAAACTACAGATGATATAAAAATTTATTATATACCAAATTAATGCTCATCTAAACTGGAATTGATGTGTATGACTGAGATTCCGTATGACGACTATTGACTGTAGAACTATGGAAGTTTCTGTCGAGTGCATCATAATGAATGAGCCTCTCAGTATTTTCTATTTTTCTCGTGTATGTTCAGGATCTAGCGATTAGTATTTTTTTTGAAAGATGCGCCTCGAAATATTCTACAAAACCATATCTAAACTTTAATTTTACAACTTTAATCAAGGAAACTACGTAAATTATACGAAAGGCGGAAAAAAATGAAAACTTTGTATAGTTGGTATTTTTTCGACTTGACTTTTTTCTTCAGCAATTATTCGCGCAAAAGAGTGTAGCAAAAGTGAGAACTCAGTTCTTTTTGTACTTCTGAACATGCTGTTTCCTCTGGCCTGTGAAAAATGTTTTTTAGAGCAGATGGTGGGTTGAAGTACTAAGTTTCAAAAGCTTTCAGTGCAAATTTTCAGCAATGTGCTGAAGTAAGAAATGGAAAACCTGATCGATGTTTTGATTTCAGAATTAGTAATAGAAAAGCAATCATTCCTGATCAAAACAAAACAAATCCGATCGAAAAAGCGTTTGTTCTGTTGAAGTTACGGGACTTTTACTCAAAGCACTGCTGCACCCAGAATTTAATCATTATGACGCACTCGATAGAAACTTCCATAGTTCTACAGCCAATAATCGTCATACAGAATATCACTAGTACACATCAATTCCATTTCAGATGAACATTAATTTGGTATATAATAAATTTTTATATCATTTGTAGTTTCAGCTCTACCCCCCTGGAAAACTATTATTTCCAACCGTGTAATTGCTGGTCGGTTACCGTTCTTTGTAACGGTAACGTGTAAGCAGTTACGGTACAAGTAACGGTAACTGTTCAGTATATCTTTCAAGAGTCAAATCTCTGAATATCTAGGTATCCAGGGTGAGGGTGAGGCTACGAACTTCCACCCTCACCCTGGATACCTAGATATTCAGAGATTTGACTCTTGAAAGATATACTGAACAGTTATCGTTACTAGTACGGTAACTGATTATCCGTTACCGTTACCAGGAACGGGAACTGTTCAGCAGTTACCGTTACCGAGTAACAGTGGTAACGGTAACTGATAACTGTCAGCCCTAGTTGGTTTAGTGAAAGACCTCTCAATGATTTGAGTTTAAAAAGCATAATTGACTGAGAGATTGATCGCGACAGTTTTCCATTCAAAGGTTAAGTAAATCAAATATTGAGCGATCAGCACTTCCACCTTTATGTGTTCAAAAATTCACATTAGCTTAACATCTTGGGATTGTTCTGGCTTCTTAGGATTTAATTCTGAGGCCCTGCATGTGGTCGTCCATGATTCTGTTTACGGAAGCTAGGATCTGCTTTTCCATCGACACTCTTTTTCCTTATATAGATGTCACATCCGTATGTCCATGTTGAAAAGCCATGACAGCTTCACAATCGTCCCGGAGCTCCACCACAAGCAATGGAGAATGATAAGAAAAAATGCCGTCAATACTGTCACACCACTCGAGAAGCGAGTTATAATCACGAATTGAAACAATTCATCGATGTTTATCAAATTGAGAATCATTGACAAAAATAAAGCGTGTATTAAAGGGAATGAGAGTTTATAAACTATTCTAGAATACTCTACAAGGATTTCTGAATCTAGTAGTACTCGTCAGAATCATAAAAAAGTCTATATTCAAAGGTAAAATAGTACAAATACTAAGTATGACTAAAATATGTTCCTTTTTCTGTCTCAACTATTCGAATACATAATAAATCAGTAGATATTTCTACCATGCAGTTTTAAATAATAAGAAATAGAGCTTGAATAAAATAATTAAGCTTATATTCAGTCGTAAGAATAAAATAATTGATCGTGTGGTAAATGATTGATTTAATCATGTTCCTTTTCTTTGCAAAAACCATGTACCATTGATCGTGCTTTTCGTAATGCGTTTGTAAAATCAGAATTATTAATTCGTATTTGTTCTGCTGATGTTTCATCCACATCCAGCGTTTCACGTGCCATTACACCTCTTCTTAAGGCATTATTTATTGCTATTCGTACTAGTTGTTCAATATGAGCCCCCGTCAAGCCGTGTGTATCGCAAATAATTCTTTCAATATCAATGTTCTGTTCTACTAGATGATGCTGTAACATGAGCTTTGTGTAAATATCAAAAATTTTCGTTCTGTCATCCCGATTTGGCAGTTGAAATTTTATGCTAACTTTGAGTCGACCTGGTCTTGTTAATGCAGGATCAATGGATTCTCGAAGACTGGTTGTTCCAATCATTAAGATATTGTTCAATTGAGAATATCCGTCTAATTTTGTTAATAACTGACTGGTAACATTGTCTTGTACAGTGTCACGTGTTGAGCTGGCATTTGCCGATCATCGTTTACATACGGCATCGATCTCATCAAAAATAATGACATGTAGACCACTATCTTCAATATTTTTTTCATCCAGTTCAGCATCAATAATAATTCTCGTATTTTTGCTTCGGATTCGCCTAACAAACTACTAAAGACCTTGGGGCCATTGACTATTTTCGGCTGTGTTCCCAACAGTTGACATATGGTTCTTGCTATTAAAGTTTTCCCCATCCCCGCTGGACCATACAGTAAAATTCCTCGACAATGTTTCATACCAGTTTGATTTCTAAACAATGATGGATAAAAACGTGATAATAATACATCGCCAAAAATTTCTTCAAATACATCTTCGCAACCACCAACTGTACTACTTAAATTGTACTTTTTGTTAATAATACTGGAAAATGTATTTCGTTTAATATGTGGTTGAGTAATGTATTTGTGGTATAATTTTAGTTGGTTTAAACTATATTTATTATAAGATAAACTTCGTGACACTCCCTGCTAAATCGGCTCACCATTGTATAGCAAGAAGTGCAAGTCCACGATGTCGTACGTTACCAATGACAAATTAAAATGAAAAATAAAAGTGGAAGTAGAAACAATAAGTAAACAATGAACTAGAAGAAAACTAACAATAAAAATAAAAAATGTTTATCAAAGTCAGAGAATGACGTTAGTTGCAAAATAAGGGGTAAGTAAGAATAAGAGAACTGAGGAGTAAAAAGGAAGTGTTGTTCATTCGAAACGTTTTGTTTCGCAAATATAATCTATTATTTTATAAAGGTCTTGATAAAATTGATGAGGGAAGATTTTCCATAGGAGTAATGTTTCAATATCGATGTCGACAGTCGAGTCACGATGTTTTATTCTATCGAAAAGTCTCAGTCTAACTAAATGGTAAATTGGACATGAGAGAAAGAAATGCTCGACTGTTTCACTTTGAAAACAGTCACAAAGATCATCGCCTGGATTTTTTAAAATATATCGTCTCGATAAGTCGGATCTCAATGTCGAAAAGTCACAACGCATTTGATAGAACGCGATATCAGCAATTCTATTCATTCCTGTCGTTACTCTTACTTCTGGTGTTAATTCTAAGAACTTCGATAATTCTTGTGTAAAAGACGTTAGTTTATGTATTTGACGTAATTTACTCGGCAAGTTATTCCACATTGATGATAAAGATGGAAAAAAGCACAAAGTTGAGTTTTTACTTCTTCCGTAAATTAACTTGATTTTATTGTGATTATTAGAACGGGTGTTATGGGATGAGTTATACATCGGTTGTATATATTTACAAAGAAATGATGGAGCTTTTTTATAAATGATTTTATGGAAATGCCTCAGTTTATTAGCTTAAATGTTACTTTGAGGTTACTCCATCCCAAAAGTTTTCTTATTTTCATTCGATTCGTAAGACGTAGTGCACCGCTTGCTAATAAAGATGCATTATATTGCACATGTTCGAAAGCAGAAATATTAGATTGATTGATATAGATACACGATCCATAAATGATTGATTACTGGGAGAACAAATGATTTGTATAACTGATTTAATGTGGATGTACTTAAAATTCTTTTACATGTTTTTATCATATTTAATAACTTTACACATTTATTTAAGACATATTATTGATGTACTAGCCAATCTAATTTACTCGTCAAAAAAATTCCAAGGTGTTTTCGTTGTTTAACCTCATTTAGACTGATGTTATTTATTACGAGAGGAGGTGGTGTTAAATTGTAGCTAAATGTCATTGACTCACATTTCTGTTCATTTAGAGGCAATTGCCACTCAACTGACCATTGATGCATTTTTAACAAATCGCTATTTAAATGTGCTGTTAAATCATGTATATCACTATCAGAATGATGAATGACTGTATCGTCAGCAAACAACCGTGTGCATGAGTTTAATGATTCTCCAATATCATCAATAAAAACAAGAAACAACAGTGAGCCGAGGACGCTCCCTTGGGGAACGCCTCGGTTCACTTTTTGGGGAGACGACAGACTTCCATTAATCACTGTTATTATTTCTCTGTCAGAGACATAGCTCTGAAACCAACTCAGTAGTGAGCCGCAAATACCTTTCATTTCTAATTTATGCAGTAATCCTCTTAACCAAACACGATCGAACGCCTTAATAAAATCGAGATAAATAGCTCTGGTTATTTGCCCTTTATCTCCATTCTGATAAATTGTATGAACAAAATCAATCAGCTGATTCACTGTGGAATCACCCCTAATGAATCCCGACTGCATACTCGACAACAACTTATTCGTAGTGAGATAATGATATAAATGATTTATACAACGCGCTCAAAAACTTTACTGAGAATTGGTAGGAGAGTTATTGGCCTATAATTATTTGTACTAGAAGAATCGCCGTCTTTAAATAATGGATTGATATAACCTATCTTAAAGACCTTCGGGTATTCGCCTGTTTCTATTGACTGATTAATCATACTCGCTATGTAAACTGATGAAATTATAGATGATTCTCTCAACAAGCGCGATGTTATTCCTGGACTGCTTGCTTTGTTTATATTTAATTTACTTAAGATATGTTCAACCTGAGTGGCAGAAACGACAAGAGGTAGAATTCTCTATTCATACTCTTTTACATATGGTATTGTTTTCATATTATCAGACACATCTTTAGTACAGATGGACGCAAAATACATATTCAACTCATCAGCGTTTTATTATCTTCGTATGTCCACTGTCCGCTCTGATTTTTTAATGGAGGAATACTTGACTGTTTTTTCCTTCCCAGAGAAAAATTTAATGTTTTCCACCATTGTTTATTAGGGCTATTTTGTTGTTAATCCGGTCGATATACTCGTCCTTAGTTTATTTACGTGAATCTTGAAATGTCTTTGTTAAACAGAGATATTTATTACGACTATCGTCCGTCTTTGCCTTAATATGTTGTCTATATGCTCTGTTCCTTTTCCTCAGCAACGTACGCAAACTATCTGTGAACCAG